CTGAACGAGGGGAACAAAAAGTCAGAAATGAAAAATAATATAAAGAAACGCGCGCAAAAAATTCGAAAAAATAAATGGCACTCCACCTCAAAGAGTGAAACAATGAAAACAAAAAACGCTGAAAGGTTGATATAAATAACTCGCAAAAGTTCGTCTGATATGTTTCTCAATGTTTTTCTCTGTGTGGACTTCAAAATACCTGCATTGTTTTCGAACTTTTTGAACCATTTAATGTACATCGGAATTTTTTCATTATGCCTCTTCCAAAAATAAATAAATAGTAAAATCAAATTCAAAAAGATTTTTCGTTATAAAAGGATAAAAGCTTATTAACTGTCCCTTCTTACTTATCAAGGGGTTAGAGTGTTTGTAAAAACAAGATGTCTTCCATTAGTAAAATGTGCAGTTTCACTGAAAGAGGCCGCAGGGAATCAGCCTCGTTTTGAAGATAAAAGATTACACTTACAAAGAAGAGTGCGAAGTCTAAAGGAAAACGCATCAGAGATCACACATTCAGTGTATATGTGAAATGATGTTTCTCTGTGATGTTGACAGTTACAAAATATGGCAAACTGCATACGTGAAAAACTTCACGCCTCTGACAACGCTTGTTGACGCTGTTTGTTGCAGCAACGTAAATCAGTTTTGGGATAAGACACACACTTTCACAAAGTTTACGATTAAAGCAAGCCATACATCATGAACTTATGGGTACTTGGGAAATTATCTATACTGAAATGATCATATTTTCTGTAACGGTCTTTCACCACCCTCTATCATTGATTTCTCTCTCTCTCAGTTTCCCCCCTTCTCTCACATACTCACACTCTATTGCTCCTGTATACATATTAACTAGATATAGATTAAATATTTTTAAACTATATATATATATATATATATATATATATGTGTGTGTGTGTGTGTGTGTGTGTGTGTGTGTGTTCCCTCTCGTTGGTTGAGCTCATCATTGTGTCTAGACATCCGATCGCCTCAAGCCAGAACCGAAACTCGACCGATTTGTCATCGGCGCCCGTCAGACAGAAAGGCAAATTTTTGGTCCGATTGATAAATTGTCGTCTAAATTAGGCAAAACATGAAAATAACACTGGCACCTTATTTAAACAGATATATTTCGCAAAGTTAAACTAGGCCACCTTGAAAGGCTCCAAGAATAAATTTATTCAATAAAATCGACATTGGCACCCAAACGACTTCGGAATCCCCTGCAACCCTTCTGGACGGTCTCCTTGTTTAAGTTGGTGAATGTTGCCATAATCCTGACCTTCAGTTCATCTTTGTTGTTAAAACTCGCTCAACTGTACCCCACATGTAATAATCAAGGAGGCTGTTGTCTGGGTGAGTTAGGTGGTCAGATGTAAGTGGTGATGTGGTGGCAGAAACGCTACTATATTCATATTGTTAACTGAAAAGTACGTCAAGTACTATCAATTGACAATATGAATAGCGTTTTTCTAAATTCGTCGAGTTGCTAAGGACATTTTGTTGTTAATAGTTATTTTCTTTTTAATAAATTTATTTCGTTTTTGCCTTGAAAAAGTCCACATTGGACGAAACGCTCGGCTAATAATAGAGTTTTCCTATTGTCTTTTAACTTTAAATATATATATTTTTTTTAGAAAAAATATATATATATATAATCGATATCATCCCAGGCAAGACTGTACAACCACTAAACCGCAAGGTGTTACTGGGTGTGGAAGAAATAGGAACAGAAGCATTAATAATAACCGGAAAGAAAAAAGAATAAGCAACAGGACAGTAGATAGCGATTGACATTGCATTTAAATTTTTGCAGATTAAAGTTGGCTGGAAAGCATGGAGCTGGAAGGGAGTTCCACAAGCAAGAAGTGCAAGGAAAAGTTACGGCTACATCTAGCCAGCTCAACTGTTAACTGATGAGATCTCGCCGCCGGTCGCTTACTGCGCTTAAATTCAGACAGTCTAGGTACTATTGTGAAGAGCTCATCCGAACAATTACCATTAAAGTATTTATTAAAAAGGCACAGAGAGTCAACCTTACGGCGATGGGCAATTGAATGAAGCCGAGCTGCCATATGAGGGCCAATAATATTGCTGATACTTCTTTGGATTTCATCAAGGAGCTTCCGGTAAATCGCAGGGGTGCCAGACCATATATGGCGCAATATTCTAAGCATGAACGAACGGTAGACTTATAAATATGCAAGATAGATTCCAGAGAGAAAAAAATGTCTTGCATGACACAGTGACTCAACGTTTTCAGCAGCTGACCTAGCAATAGATCCATATAGTCTTTCTATTGGATGTCAGCTGAGAACGTTACCAAGAGAAGTCGCAACAAGTTACTTTTCGGAGGTTAGCATTAGCCATTCTAATGGAAAGCAAAGAGGTGTCTCTTAGATTAGCTAATGGAGATAAGTTTAGTTTTGGAGGCGATAATATTGACAAGCCAGTTAAAGACGGTCTTGAGGTCGCTTTCTACATCAGCTGCCATTTTGACATTGTTAGACTGATCAACCATATTATAAAAGTCAGAAGTAAATGGTAGTGACGTCAGCATAGATGCCAAGTTCAGAGCTGATACCATCGGGAAGGTCGTCAAAGAAGGTAAGTACCTCCAAAGATTCGCTAAAAAATGAGTATATATGATTTTTTTAGGACGCAAGGGGTTACAGAAGATCAGATAGGAGTGATAGAAGAAAGGATGAGGAGAAGGGTAGTGGATAGATCAAGGCAACTGGAGATGTCGATTTACATTACATTTGAATAGCTGGAGATTATAGCTCTCAGGGAAAACTGGAATATGGAAGGGAGTTCCACAGGCGAGATGTGCGAGACATGAAGCTATTGGAGTAGAAGAGACGGCTACATTTAAGAGTTTCGACAGTGAAAGGGTGAGATCGGGATGCCAGCCTCATAGGGTGCTTGAACTCATGAAGTCTGGGAACCAGCGAATGCAGCTCCTCGGAACAATTGCCATGTAAGTATTTGTAAAACAGGCAGAGAGAGGCGACGGCGGGTCTGTGAGAAAGTGACTGTAGACGAGATGCCAGAGCAGGGCCAATTATATTGCATATCCGCCTCTGGATTATTAAGTTATATTTTTTAATCCTTTTCAGAACTTCATAATTTTCATTCGTGTTTTTTTTTCTTGCATCAGCGGTTGGCCATAAATTAGTATAGGTAATTTTAGCGTCTTTTTGCGGCGTAAAAAACATTTATTTGGAAATTAATGCAGAAATCATATAATTGTCGGATTATAATGAAACTTTCAGGACTCATTTACAAATTATTGAAATTATTTTGTAAATTGTTTTCTGGAAAATCTTGGTAAAAATATTTTTTACAGGCTACCGTCCCACTTATTTAATTTTATGAAATTTTGAGAAATTGATTTTTGTATGTCTTAATGTTTTTATTAACTATTTTAGTGATGTCAACGAACACTCGTTGCCACTTTTGTAAGGTCAACGAATACTCGTTGTCACTTTCGTAAAGTTCGTTGTAGTAGAGACTTTGTAATCGCAGATACAGCTATAGTAACACCGTTGAACAATTCTGGTATCAGACGTCTTCGAATAGCACTCGCACTAATAGAACTTTCTCGATAATAATCGCTCGAATAGTAACCACCGAACAGTAATCCGAATAGTAATCTGTATAATCATCACTTAGACGCCACGCTAATTCCCATATATACATTTCCTTTACCATCACGTGATCTACTTATTCAAAATTGGATCGCCTGTGTTTGCTCTTTGCTGATCTGTGTTCAATCTCCAGTGTCGGCAGAGACCCTTTTTTCCTATATAACAGTTCTATCCAGAAGACCTTGGAGAATTTAAATTATCATTTATTTTATTTTATTTTCTTTCTCTATTTATTTTGGAAACGAGGGCCCCTAGTTATTGAAAATCTGTTCTGAATCGTAAAATAAATTCTGTTAAGAATTTTTCCCTATTTCACCTTTCATAACAGAATTACAACACTCCCAAACAAACGTACAGAACAGTATCAAGAAATCAAATGAAAATGGTTAAATCCGTCAAGTAATAAAAACTATATCTCCACACGTGACAGTAACTGACGTAATTTCAGTTAACAGTATGGAAATAGCGTTCTCTAAATTCTTACAGTTGCTAAGGACATTTTGTTTTGTTATTATTAGTTACTTTGTTTAATAAATTAATTTCTTATTTACCTTGAAAAAGTCCACATTGGACGAAACGCGTTGGCAACTGTTACAGTTTACCTATTGTCTTTTACATTTATATATATATATATATATATATATATATATATATATATATATATATATATATATATAAACGTGCAAACGTGCAATTTACAAATTCATGAATTATTCACACAAAAACAAATGCAAAAGTTAATGATTTAATTGGCGAGAAATCCATCGTCGCAAACAATTCAAATAATATACAAAACCTCCGAATCCGTTATTAATGAAAAGATCCTTGTTTCTATAAATTTCTGCCGCATTAGTTCTTATTTTTACTACAAGCTTTCGTCTGTTCCTACAGACATCTTCAGTTATGGAATAGATGTTGTTCTTGTTTTTCTCTTAGTAATAAGAGGACACAAAAAATATATGTATTGTTGTATCCGAAAAATGCTATTGGAAATGAGTTATTGTTTTTGGAGCGTGCAATAGCAACGCTGAGTTTGATTTAAATTTTTACAGTTGTGCGTTCATGTACAAATATGGTGATAAACGAATTTTTTACTGGTAAATTTTCTGTCAAAGTGGCATGAACTATATTGTTCAATAATTACAGTAATGTCGCAATTTATTATCCAAAAAGTCGCACTTGGATCAGTTATTAGTTGGATTCGGAGGTTTTTGTATATTATTTGAATTGTTTGCGACGATGGATTTCTCATAATTAAATCATTAACCTTGCATTTGTTTTTGTGTGAATAATTCATGAATTTGTATATATATATATATATATATATATATATATATATATATATATATA